TGCGCCAGCACAGTGGATTGAACTGGACTGAATTAGAGTCCTGGATCTAGAGAGGTAATGGCCAGAAGCATAAAGGACCAGAGCCAAGGCCATAAGCAGCACATCGACAGCACTGTGTAGAGCTGGGCTGGGGAAGAACTTTTCTGGCTCACCTCGCATGCAGCCCATATTGCACCGGCTCTTGGTTCCCGAAGCTGCTGGACTTGGCACTAGCATTTCTATAATGGATGCCATCGGCAGTTATAGCTTCATGGGCACTAGAATGAGGATGAAAGGAGCCAGAGCAGAGGAGGAAAACAAAATCCAGGGCTGGCTGTAAGTGACAGGCTTCACACAGCTCTGGTGTGTCTTGGAGGACACTGGTTCCTGTCAAGGCAAGAAGGAGGGTTTGGGTCTTTGTAAGTGACCATTGTAGATGCACGTGTGGCTCGTTTTGGTGATAATGGGTCGGTGAGGCCAGGCAATATCTAGGTTCCACTGGCTGGAGCCGTACATTCTGGGGATAAAACAGTCCCATTTGGGGCACACTGGGTTTGAGATGGCCAGGACGGGTGAGTTGTGGCTCCTTGGGCTGGATTTGAGTGCTGCCACAGAAAAGGCTATTTTTAGCAATGACTTAGGTGGAGACAAGAACAGTTCTCCTCTCACACATGCAGGCAACTTGGAGGCACCAGGACAGATAATTGTGTGGAAGCTTGTCAGGATTCTGAGGTATTGTTGGGATCCCCATGAAGATGTCCAGGAGCCTAGGTGGATATGTGTCAGGCATTTGAGCGAGAGATTCAGGCTAGAGGTACGGCTTTGAACATCACCAGCTGAAGGATTTAATTTAAGTTATGGGAATGGATGAAATTACCCAGTGTGCAGAGTAAGTAGAGTGGAAATGGCCAAAGGCAGAAAATGGAGAACCCCAACATTTACAGAATATGCAGAGGAAAAACAATTTTTAAAAGGCCTAAAAGGAACAGTCAGGGGAGGAGGAAGAAAGTCCGGAGGGTTTATATGTGATGGCAGACAGGGAAGACTGCTTCAAGAGGGAGGCAGGGGCTGCCAGTTTCAAACGCTAGACAGAGGACAGTATCAGGATCCTAGCAGCAAAGAGGCAGTTGCTGTCCTTGAGGGGGACAGTTTCCAGGGCGTGGATAAGGCTGAAGCTGGACTGCAGCAGACTGATAGATGGGAGGGGAGAGGGTTCTTGGCAGGTGCCAATAAGGCTTGTAAGAAGTTTGACTGCAAAGACAAGGAGGGGTGGTGGTGGACAATGGGGATGTGGGGTCAAGGGAGGACATGAGGGCCTTGAATGTGTGGTGAGACAGGGAGAGGCTATAGCTGATGGAACAAGGTTACCCAGAAGGCGGAGGGGTGAAATCAGAACTCAGCAGCTGAGACTGGGCCTGGAAGGGAGAGCCTGGGGGCTGCGGTGCAGCCCACGTGAGAGAGGAAGGAGGAGAAGGGGTCATCTGCTGGGGAAAAGAGAGGATTGAGGAAAATGGAAGCAACGAGGAACAGCTGCTGGAGACTGTCCAGGACCAGGGAGGAGGACTGTCAGGCACCACTGAAAATCAAGCGGAGGCTGGAGACCCTGAGTCTGGGGAGGAGCCAATCGGTACCGTTGTCTGACTCTCCTCCCTGGGCCCGGAGCAGCCTGACAGCACAGGTGACCAGGTGGACGGCAGACAGTGCTGCAGTGTGGTGCTGCTAGGTGGACATGTCAGAAAGACAGAGAGCTCCTGGGCAAGTCAAGGAGCTGGACCCAGGCGGCTCTCCACCTGTGCCTCAGGGCTTAGCCTGAATCGGAGGACTGTTACTTCCACTCACCTCCCAGGCTCTCAGGGAAATGCTCTTATAAGCACACCAAAGCAACTCACATGCATTAGGGTGGCTACTACCATCCCCCCAAAACAGAGAATAACAGGTGTTGGTGAAGCTATAGGAAAATGGAATGCTTGTGCACAGTTGGTGCAAAGGTAGAATGGTACAGCCTGGCGGACTCTCAGACATTAAAAACACAATCACCACATGATCCAGCAATCCACTTCTGGGTATGTATCCCAAAGAATCGAAAGCAAGGTTGCAAAGATGCTGCTCATTTGTTCATAGCAGCATAGTTCACAATAGCCAAAATCTAGAAGCAACCCACATGTCCACTGGCAGATGAACTGATAAGCAGAATGTGATATAGACAGATAATGGAATATTATTTGGCCCTAAAAAGGAAAGACATTCTGATATGTGCCTATAACGCAGATGAATTCTGAGGGCTTTATTCTCATTGACATAAGCCAGTCACAAATAGGCGTATATTGTATGATTTCACTTAAGTGAGATACCTGGAGTAGTCAAAATCAAAGACAGAAGGGAGAATGGTGGGGGGAAGGGAATTGTTTAACAGGTGCAGAGTTCTGGAGACAGATGGCAGTGATCATCATGTGGCACTGTGAAGGCACTGAATCATACACTGATGATGGTTAAGATCATAAATGGTATGTTATGTGTATTTAACCACAGTTTGAAAAAAATGCTTTTTGAAAACAACAACAACAACAACAACAACAACAAAACACACTAAGAAGTTCAAGGTATTCATTCAACAGAGCAGCCTGGCAGTGGTATCTCATGGGCAGTGGAGGGTGCCCACAGCCATAGGAGTGACAGGTAAAGGGACAGGTGATAAATGGAAAAGCCCAGTGTGTTGGCCTAGATCAGGAGCCAGGAGATGGGGCTGTCCCTGTCTCTGTCACTGTGTGATCTTGAGCAGGCTCCTTGCACTCTGGCCCAGTATCCTGTTAGGATGCTTAGAACATTCACCTTGTGAAGGTCTCCCCCAGCTCTAACTGTCTAGAACTTCAAAGCACTGACTGTCACTGAGCCCGAGGGACGTGAGTGCAGGGCAGCTGAGTCACTGGGCACCTTCTCCGTGGTGTCCCGAGAGCTTTTCATTTAAAATAGAAAAGATACATTCCTATCTAGAGCACTCCCCTTAGCAGGAAGAAGGGTTATGGAGGAGGAAGAGGCTTAACCGAGCTCAGCACTGTCAATACAGACCCTTCATTTTGGTTTACATTGCTTTGGAAAGGGCCAAGCTGGAAATTTGGGAAAACCCCAGGAAATGTGGCACGAGCCAAGATTGTGAGGAGAGGCACTGTCCCTGCACAGTGTGCTCTTGTGCCTCTGTCCTGTGCCTGCTCTTCCTTCCTCCAGGAGGCCCTGTGGCTGCCAGTTGAGCCCCTCCACAGGCTGCTTCCTTGACCCAACAGGAGCAGCTTCCTGAGCACACCTGGAGACCCAAATCAAACAAGGGCCTCTCTGCCTGCAGGCACTTCATCTGTATTCTCCCGCTGATTGGAAGAAAGACTTGCAGGCCCCATTCAAAAGCAAACTGAATGATAGAGCAAGGCCTTTCTGACAGCTTTTTCCTTGAGTTCAGGTGGGGGAATGGTACACCCCAGTGTGGCATACCTGGGAGGGGTACACCTACGTGCACTGACACACACGAGGGGAAGATATGAACATTGCTCTGAAATAGAATCATTGGCAGTATTCCTGCCTCTCTCCACGCCCTTTCACTGTTGACTTGGAAAGAGCCTATGGTACCCTCAAGCCAGGGCCGGGAATGAGTTTTAAGAACATCCACGGCATTCTAGGTGGCTGCACTACTGTGTTTGACCACCAGGGTGCAGTCACACAGAGACTTGCTGGGGGCTCAGAGAAAGACCCACAGGCTACAGGATTTCTAGAGCCCAGTGAATTTCAAGAGGAGAGATGCGCCAGGCTGTTGACAAGGGCTGAGCCTACTTCACAAAGGACAGCACGCTGCCACCACCACGCATCCCCCTCAGCTATCTCCTGCCTGCTTGCCTGTCTTTTTATTCCAAGGTCCTGCTGACTGTATGCACAATACTTGGAAAAATTATATTTTCAGTGAATGCCACTGGGGTATCGTTTCTGCAAAAGAAAGTGTGCGGTTTCACGATTGTTAGGCAGTTTATCTTGGGACCAGGAGAGCCCCTTCAGGAACAAAGCACAGGGAATCCAAGCTCTTCGAATCTAGCTATAGCTAAGACTTCTTGTTTGATTCTAAAATACCCACAAACCTTAATTTTATAATCAAAGCAGCCAGCATGTTCTAAGTTATTTACAGGTATCTGGGAGAGTCGCCCAGAATTGGCTCCTTTGGTCCTCACTGGTGTTTACAATTCTATGTCTAAGAGCCGCAGGGTTGGGCTGGGGAAAGCAATGTTGTGAGCTGCTGTGTGACCCTAGGACTTGTTCCTGCCCTTCTTGGGCCTTCAATTCTTCAACCTGCTACTGCTTCAAAACAGGGCATCAAACATCCAGCTGGAACACTCTATCATTGCCATGCAGAGAGTACATTGGTGAAGACAGATCAGGCTAATGAGAAGTTAATTGGGAAACAACTGATTGACAAGTTAGCATAGGATGATAAGAGGCAAACTGTTCTGAATTAGGGACTAACATTTCCTGTTGTTCCTTTCTGGAAAGGGGGGCAGATACTGTCTGCAAGGTCCTAGTTGTGGTCTGTTAAATTCCCTTACATGATGAGCATGTTCCTTCATGCAGAGGGCTTTGCTTGATAAAGAGAAGTGCAGTCCAAGTCCATCCCTTATGGGCTCTGTGACTTGGGCAAATCCCTAATCCCTGTGGTTCACCTGTTTCCCAAGCATACAGAGGGGGAGTTGGATGGGCCATTTAAGGTCCTTCCAGACCTAAAATGGATTTTATTTTATTCTCTGAGTTCCAAGCAAAAGACACATAAGACATAAGAGGCTTTCTAGTAACAACAGGTATTTTCTGTATCCAAAACCTTTTCCTGAGTAAATAATGTCTGAGGAGAAAAAGGGCCAGAGAGGCCTGGTGTGACCCTCTGCTCTCTCACTGTTCAGTATCTCTAATCTCTGTCCCTGGCTCTTGGGAGGGAGCCAAGGACACTCAGGGAGTCACACAGGAGACTCCTCAGCAGGCTCAGCGGCAGCACCTACCCTTCTCTTTGGTACTCTTCATCCAGATTTGACAGGAGCTGCGAGCCGGCTGTGGAGAGGTCAACGGCAGCCAGGGGCAAGTCCCGATAGGCAAATGTCACCAGCTGTGTGGGGGCCATGCTCTTGGTTTCTTCATCTACTTGTTGGGAGATGACCTCAACTTCAGAAATCCCTCCTTCGACAGCAGGCCTGAGTTGGAGAGGAGGAATGACAAGAAAGGTTAGCTCCTAGGACCAAAATACTTTGTCCATTCCAAGAGAGGAGAGTAGGGGTTCCAGAATCTACACAGTGCTGTTGGAAGGCTGGGGAAGTGCAAGGTTGCCATTCTTCCCACGGGCCACCCAAAGACAGGATCAAAGCCCTCACTAGTCCATTTTCTTCACCAGCTGGGAAGAAAGGGAGATGAGAAGAGGAATTGTTCATGTCTGGACACAGGCAGGTCTTCTATCATGGGGTGATAAAGACCTAGATGATAACTCTGTCAACCAGCAAAACCACGACTCAGACTTCAGGACTCTGGATCATTACTCTTTATATTGAAATGGTGTGTTCTTTTAAACTCTCTTATGGGTTTTTGTGAAGGTCCTTTGAAATGTTTCTATCATCTGTGCCACAACTGGACATACTGCTGGTGGTTGGGACTCTACCTGGAGACCTGCAGGGCCCTTGTAGGCTTTGGGGTGGTGAGAGTGGGAGGGCATTGGATGACTGGGAGGTGCCTGCTGCCTTCCTACCTGAATTGGTCCTACCTTTTAAAGGTTGGGAGTAGGAAGTAGAAGTCGGCTGATCAAACGTCTGAGAAACTCTGGGGCTCTGTGGGTACCTCAAAGAACCCACAACTCTGGCATTGCAGGATGCCCCAGCCAGGGGCAGCACCACCTCCCAACCCACCAGCAGGTGTCTGGCAATTTGTGGAGGCATTTTTTGCAGTCACTGTTGACATCTGAGCAGGGCTAGGGATGTTATTAATTCTGCAGTGTATTTAACAACTCTGCACCACCCTGACAAACTCTGTTGAGAGATGCTGGACAATTTTGCTTTTACTGCCTGGGTTGCCATTTTTGGTTCCTCCACACATTCCTGACCCATTTTCATCCCTTAGAATCTGAGGCATTGGGTCTTGTGCCTCTGGTCAAACAAGAAAGGTTAAAAAGTTAAAAAGTACAGATGAAGAAGTATAAAGATTAAATATTTGAGCCAGGTGCAGTGGTGCACGCCTGTAATCCCAGCAGCTCAGAAGGCTGAGGCAGGAGGATTGTGAATTCAAAGCCACCCTCAGCAACTTAATGAAACCCTGTTGTCTCTAACTAAAAAAATACAAACAAACAAACAAACAAAAGATTAACTATTTGAAGGAACACTAAGAGTCAGTGTCCAGGGAAAGGAGGCCAGTTTCAACACTGAGGTGACAACCTAGGCCACCCTGCAATATTCCTGGGCTCTCGGGCCAGCCCAAATACCTCCTTCAGTGGGACTCTTCCTGGGCCTCAGTTTCTCCAACTGAAACATAAAGAGTTGAAATAGAGGCTTCCTAAGAGCCATTCCTCCTTAGTCTGGGATCTGATATGAATAAGAGGAACACACAGCAGGCTGGAGAGCTCTGGAGTTGCAAGACCTGTCGCTTGGATTGGGAACTCTAAATTCCAAACTTTTCTAGCAACTGTTGAAACCTAACCAGTGACACCCAGAGGTAGTGACAGGAAGTTCAGAGATGAATCTGCCTACTTCTCCTTTTCTTGGATCACCCAGATTAATGGAGGGAAAAATAGGTTTGTTTGTTTGTTTTTTTGAGTGCCACAGGTAGGCTGCCTACAATACCTGAATTCGCCAAGTAATTCCCAGAGCCCCAATTCTCTTTTGTAAGCCTTATTTAAACCTTTGCTTTTTGCTACCTGTCAAGTGCAGATAATAGTATTCATCACTGTGTGACATTTACAGAATGACTCGAGATCTTTAGGCGGAACAGTCATAGGATGTGCTGCTTCTATGTTTCTCAACAACTGATCTAAAAGCGTGGGTGTTTTATGGGGGGAATCCCACCTCCTCCAGATGTTTCCAAAAATGTAGCTGCTGAATTGAATTTGTTCTCTTTTCTTTGAAACTATTGAAGGAAACTATGGATTTTTCAACTGTACAAATAGAACTTTCTGACCAATAAGGTGTTCAAGGAGGGCTAGAGAATTTCTAAGAACAGCAGATTATGGCTCCAAGAAGCATGGAACAAATTACTTCTGCCTTCTTAACTCTCCCACCCTCTGTTCCCAATCTGCCAATGGTCATAGTGGACCAGCACCATCTCTAGCCCAATGGTCATCTTAGCAGAGAGTATTGAAATTCCCACAGTTAATGGCCTGAGTATTAAAACTACACCCTGGCCTCAGGTATGAAGTATAGTATGGTGAACAAAATGGGTTAATTCTTTATCCCTCCTTGAATACAGCCCTTTGCCACATGACTTTACAGTCTGTCCCATCAAAAGGAAGAATAAATTTCCCCAATATCTTATTTGGTCTTCTATTATGTGACTTGTTTTGACCAATAGTATATTAGCAGCCATGATGCCGGTGAGGCATGATAAGGCATTTGTGAATTTCTGCCTGTGCTCTCGCCCCTCCAACATCACCATCAGAGGGTGACCAGCCCAGGCTACTGATCTCACCTAGATCAGCTGACAGCCAGGCCAGCCCCATATCCAAGGGTGAGTCCAAGCAAGATCAGAGCAATTACCCCAGACATGTGCACAATAAGCATCTATTGTTGATTCTACTGAGGTTGGCTGACCTTCAGATAACAGGTTCATGCTGCAGATGACTGAGTAGCCAGGCCCATAGCTAGAGAGGCCAGGAGAGCGTGGTGTAATAGAAGGAGTGTTATTCTCAACTTAGCATTTTTACCAGTGAGTTGCAAAACACAAAATAAATCACCACCTGGTCACTTACCAAGCTGGTGCTTGGCAAGATAAAGTGGTTGGTCCACATGGTGCCTTAAGTTTGGGGAACTGAAAGCAATTCTCCCTGAAGAGTTCTGATGCTGGTTTTAAAAACCCTTTCATGATTTCTAAATTTCCTTGAATTCCCATATTGTTAATTCCTTCAATTGCTTCCTAACCTTGTGTTGAGCTTGCTTTTGAAAGGTTTCCCCCATATTTTGTGGCCTCCTGTTAAAGCAAATGTATACAGTGGTTGCCTGAGTAGAAGATCATGGTCTTATGGAGATTTATAGCAACATTTTGGATGCAGAGAGCAGTTCCCAACAGTACTTACTGTGGATCTGTCATGTTGAAAGATGCAACCAGAGCCATGGGTTTTCTTGGTGTCTAGTGGGGCTCAGCTGTCCTGAAACCTGCTGTCAGCATTTCCAAGTGTGGGTTCTACAAGACACATACAAATATAGTACCCTGAAAACAAAAATAGGAACTTATTACCTTCAGATGCCAAATCAAAGTCCTCCTAAGCTCATCTAAAAATGGGAATCCTTAGCACTTTCTCCCATGTAGCACTTTTCTTCATAGTAATGTTGAATTTTTCCAATAACCCTATAGAGGGATAACAACAGCATAATTTTCATTTTTTTTAAGAGATGAGGAAATAGGACCAGACTGACAAAATGACTTTTCTGTGTTACACAGAGATACAGGAACAGCCAGGTTAGACCCAGGTTTTCTGGATTCTCATTCTTAGCGCTTTCACTAAGCTGTTATGCTCCCTGCCCCCCCAAACCCAGCCTGAGCTGTAGTTCTCTCTATTCTTCTAGATTTTTCTTTCATCTTTTTAGTTGGAACTGCAATGACAAAAGATGCAGAGAAAGTAGCTAAGAGGACAGACCCTGGAGGCAGACTGCCTAGGGCCAGACCTCACTCCCACTTATCCCTCTGTCCTCAGCTTCCCCAGCTACAAAATGAGGATAATAATAGAACTAACTAAATGAGGCAATGTATGTAAGATACTTAGAACAGTGCCTGGCACATAGTAAGTGCTATATAAGTGCTAGCTTTTAATTATCATAATTCTAACTTTTTATAAATTAAAATTGCAGTCTGTTGAACCTGAGTACATTCCAAAGCATTTGGAGGGCTGAATATAAGATTTCCTCCTAAAAATTTGGCCTAGGTAAACAGAATATACTTTTCTATCAATGTGACAATGCTACCCAAAAGTCCTCTGGGAGACAGTACAATTCAGCAGAAAGTACACAGACGCAGACGCACCCTGCTCCTGGGTGATCTTGAATAAGTTATTGGGGAAGGGGGCCAACTCCAAGGGGCCATTCTTTTATAAGTTGCACTCATCTGCAAAGTGATGCTCCTACAAGAAATCAAGGCAGGATATAACCCACTCTCCCAATCCTGAAGCTCAGTGGGGCGGAGGAGGGAGGGTTCAACTAGGGAGCCCAACGGGGAGGATGGGTATGTCACGGGGGAGGGAAACTGCTCCCACCTTGAGACTTACTGGGGGATGGTGGTTCATGAGCAAAGAGAGGAAGCTCTCTTAAGTTCTGTGTAACTAGGAGAATACGGAGTTCAAGCTAAAAATGCTTCAAAAAATCCTGGAGAAGTTTGACTACAGAGTAACTGGAAATAGAAGATGGGGGAGCTCTTCTATTTGGGAAGAGTACCACCCAGTCCTGGAAACCATCAAATATTGGAGGGAGAAAGCTGGGACAACACTAGGGAGCATCTGAACAGATGTTCTGTAGTCACACCTTACAAGGATTTCACTTTGCCTTGGTTACCTTGGTATGGAGGGTCTAAACAGGAAACAGAATTTCCTCTACAGTATTTAGAATTGTATATTAATTTATAAGTAATTATGTAAAGTTCTCCATTCAATAATGAAGATTTAATTAGTCTCAACTTTTTTCCTGTTCTTTTTCATAAGTTCTCAAGTTAACAGTCTTGAGCTAGGCATGGTGGCACATCCCTGTAATCCCAGTGATTACAACCTCCAGTAGTAATCTTACAACCTCCAGTGTAATCTGGAGGTTGAAGCAGGAGGATTACAAGTTTGAGGCCAGCATTAGCAATTTAGCAAGACCCTAAGCAACTTCGTGAGGCCCTGTCTCCAAGTTAAAAATAAAAAGGTTTGAGGGTGTAGCTTGGTGGTTAATCACCTAAACAACAACAACAACAAAAAACCTCCAAATCTTCCTGGTCTAGAGTGATCATGTGATCTGTGTAAACTCTCCTGACAATAAAGTCAGGATGGAGATACTGCAACTGGAAGGTCAGGTGGGCAGTACCTGCTTCCATAATGGTGTCTTAATAACTTGTATTTTCAAACTAGTGTTGAGATACTAAAATAAAGTATTAGTGCTGTGAAGGATACAGTAGGAAGGTCCTTATGTTCATGGACCTTCCAGTCTGGCTGGGTAGGCAAGTTTTAAAACATACAAAAATCTAAACTTTTTGCATATACTAACTAGTGAAGACAGGTAAAAACTGATAAATCTATGCAAGCAAATAATAAGCATGAGCTACTGCACTAACACATTATGGCCAAGATAAAATGCATACATAAAGTAGAAATTAAAATGATGCAAACCATTTTAATTTTAAGAAGGAAAATGTCAAACATACTATTGTAGAGAGCTGTATAAAGGGCCTTCATTTCCCTCCCTTCTGACTTCAGTTATCAGCTTATGATAGTCTTATTTTCTCTACATCCCTGCTTACTCCCTACCACTATTGATTATTTTGAAAGAAATCCTAGATATCATATCATTCATCTGTGTCTGACTATGTAGCTCTAAGGAGAGGGACAAGGACTATTTTTGAAAGACATACCACAAAATTATCATTGCCCCCAAGTCAACAATATTTTCTCAGTATCATTAAATATCCTTGTTTACATTTCCCTATTTTAAAAATTTTTTTTTTAGTTGTAGATGGACACGATACCTTTGTTTTTTTAATGTGGTGCTGAGGATCAAACCCAGTGCCTCTCACATGCTAGGCAAACACTCTACCACTGAGCCAAACCCCAGCCCACATTTCCCTGGTTTTGCCTATAATTTTTTAGAAGTATGTTAAATCATTCAGACAGAGTCCATACATTTTGATTGGCTAATATGACGTAAATCTTATTTAATCTGCAGTTTTCCCCTTCTATCTCATTTCTCCCATGCAGTATATTGGAAAAATGGATCATTTGTGTCACAAAGTTCCCACAGTCTGGATTGGGGTGATGGTATCCCTTCAGTGGTGTTTGGCATATCCCTCTGTCCCCTACCTATATTTCCTGGAAATGTAGATCAGTCTGTAGACTTTTAAAAAAATATTTATTTTTTAATTGTAGCTGGACACAATACCTTTATTTTATTTATTTTTATGTGGTGCTGAGGATCGAACCCAGGGCCTCTCATGTGTTAGGTGAGTGCTCTACCGCTGAGCCACAACCCCAGCCTAATCTGTAGAATTTAACTAGATTCAAGTTTAAAGTTTCTCACAAGACTTTATGGGTGTGTTATAACTTCCAGTAGGTGACATGCCATATCTTCTTGTCTCTGTGATATGCACAGCCATTGATGATTTTTTCCTAGATAATTCATTCAAGTTTGCAGAATTGTGCTATTAAAAATATATTCCCTTTTTCTTTTTTCTTTTCTCTCTCTACTCCATGCAAAATGGTGATATTCTAATTGGATCCCTCTTCATTAATTAGCTTCTATGAAGACAAACTTTGCCTGCTCAACAATTAGATTAGCCTTAGGTATAGTTCATATAGGGAAAGGATAAGTGCTTAACTTTCTTTTTTCATAATTTGATGCCATCCTATTTAATATTTATTTATTTAATACCAGGGATTGAATCTGGGGCTCTTAATCAACGAGCTGCATCCCCAGCCTTTTTTATGTTTTATTGTGAAACAGGGTTTCACTAAGTTGCTTAGGGCCTCACTGAGTTGCTGAAATTGGCTTTGAACTTGCAGTCCTCCTGCCTCAACCTCCTGAGCAGCTAGGAGTATAGCTGGGCTGGCTATCCTTTCCTCTTTTTATCTTTTGCTTTTCAAAACAATGACTTGGTATCTTGTCATCTTTAGAAGTGATCAGTGAGGTGCTGGTTGTTGTCTGGCAGCACCTGGATCCCCTCCCCCACTCTATAGCAGCTGGGGGCAGGAGCAGAGGCCCTGAAGAGGAAGCAGTTTCCTGGAAGGGAGACAGGGGTGTGGGGAAGAGACCCCACCCCTCCTTCTTCCCCTTGTTTCCAGGAGAAGGGAAAAAGTAAGGGAGGAGAGAGGGCAAAATCACATTACCAGAGAGTAACTGCTTCAGCTGGGAGCTTCGATCCTTAACAAGCAGTGCATTTCTAGAAGGCAGAATGCCTGAAGATGGTGGGAATACTTAGCCTGTATGTTATTTTAAAATAATATTTTCCAAACAAAACCACCCCCAAAGCACAAGCCCAGCACAAAGCAGGTGTCGTCTAGCACTCTATAAATGAACATCTGAAGTGCAAACCTGCTGCCTCATAAACCTGGTAAAGGAAGAAGACAAAACCTGCTTTGGATAGACTGCTCTGGCTCTGGCGGGTGATGAGGTTGCTTTATCGACTTTAGTAAAATGACAGCCTCTTCCTCCTGTTGCTCACATGTCTGAGAAGTTTGTTAGTCTTAACCTTCACTAGCACCGTGTTTGCTTGTTGCAGCCAGGTCTGCAAAGTCTCCCCTTCCTGAGCTGGCGTCTCTGGAATTTTAGGGCTAAACAGGGCTGCTGAGACCAGATACTCAATTTCCTCATCTACAGGTGAAAAAAAAAACCTTATGGCAGCTCCTCTGCCTCTGGAGACCCCCATGTCTATTTCTTATCCCTTACTTGAGTGACAGCCCCTTGGTGCATGTGACCTGTTTTCATACTCATTTTGTTGGTTCCCATGTCCGGTTTTACTCAGACCTTTCGGGAAATATAAATTTATAGGCCACATTGCAGAAATGCTGCAGGTAGAGTTTGAGAAGTTGGTTAGATGCCCCATGTGTTTCTGATGTGCAGCCACTCCACCTTGACCCTCCAGATCAGTGGTTCACTGGGGTCCTATCAAAACCTGCTTTGCTCAGTCCACCCATGAAATATCTAATTTCGCATGGCTGGAGTGGGAACCTGGAAGTTTACGTTTCCAACAGATTTCTAGAGGACACTCAGCTGCTGATGCACACACCACACTGATCACCTGAATCAGTTTGCTCGAGATCAAGTAGGCATTTTTATCTCTCCTTTACAGATGAACATAACTGATTGCAAAGCTACTCTGGTGAAGTGACCAGCAGAACCTCCTCTAGCCAGACGGTAGAACCAGGGAGGCACTGTATCAGCCAGAAATGCTTTTGTTTATAAGTCATGGAATACCTCCTGTGGCTGAGGCAGTGAAGGCTGTCCTCATTTCTAACAGGGGGGCTGGAGGAAGGT